GCTGCATATTCTTCAGACAGAAATATTTCAACCACCAAGCTTGAGCCTAAAAGCAAGGATGGAGTTGGCAGGAAATGTAACCATAAAATGGATAAAAGGAAAATACTGCAGATGCTTGAAATCTGATACAAAATTGAACAGTTCCAGAAAAACTCAACACATCTAGCAGCATCTGTGGAAAGAAATTTCTCTCTCCACAGATGCTGCCAGACTTGCTGAGTTTTACACAATCACAGAATCCCTACAGCGTAGAAACAGGCCATTCTGCCTAACAAGCCCACGCCAATCCTCTAAAGAGCATCCAACCCAGATCCATCTCTCTACCCTTTCCCTATAACACCACATTTCCCATGGTTAACACACCTAACCTACACATCCTGAACACTATGGGCAATTTAGCATAGCTAATCCACCTAACCTCTCCAGCAATTTGTATTAACCATAAAAATTGATTCTCTTGATCTTACAGGCCCTCTGCAATTGAAATGGCTATTTAATATCTCAATTGTGAAAATATTACCAATTGATTGCATTGTGGGCCACTACTTCTACCATGAGGAAGAGGGGGAGACCTGTTATAGAACATAACAGCATAAAAACAAGACAAATTGCCAATGAACTCTGAGCTGGTGTCTTAGTGTATTTACCTAACCAGGTGAATCATACTTTCTTGCTCACTGACGTTGTTGGATTTTAGATGGTATCCAGAAGGAACACCGATTTGTATTTCGGAACAACGCTGAAAGATGATAGTGAGGTAGCACAGTGAAAAAAAACACTCACTGAAAGTAAAAGCACTTTGTAATGTGAAGTCTAATATTTTGACATTCGAATGTTCTTTCTTTGATGTTTAAGGGTAGGATACAGTGGCGATAATTTTCAGCCTCACTGCCTGAGGAGTAATCTGGTAAAGCAGATTACCTCATCCATGTGGAACCTGTTGATTTTTAAGAATACTGCGAGAACTTCTGCCACCCACCTACATTTTGTGTCAGACAGTGCCATGGATTTGTTTGCTTCCACCTCAGAGGGCCGGGTATCTCCAACAATGTAGTATCACTAAAGTGTTAATTCAGATTCTGTGCACAAATTTCTAGCGTAACATTTGAATCCAGGAGCTCCGACCCAGAAGTAAGAGCACTGGCATTGGGCCACGGGGCATCTAAATATGTTAAATGAACATTAATCCACAAGCTCCTCCATGCTTCCGGAGTACAGTAGACTTCTTTTGATTCATCCTCAAAGGAGCTGTATTGACTCCCGCCTTTGATGGAAATACACCTCAAGCTGGTTGCCTTTCCCTTTGATGTATTATTACATATGGTCATACCATTTTTTCTTCCTCCTGTTCTAACATAACTGACCTGTTAAGGGCTCCCAGGATGAAGGATGAGAATGGAAAACATTTCCTTGCCCTAAATAGTTGAATGACTTTTTGTAGAGCCTTTCTTCGCAGCAGAGCTGAAACAAATGACCCTGCCCTGCTGTCATAATGGGCAGAAATTTCAGGACAGTCAAAGGTTATAAACTCAGTCGCCTCCTAGCTTGACAGGTCTTGCAAATACATCTGACTTCAGTTCATGTGAAATTTAGTTAATAAGTTGCATTCCCAGCAGATCAGGTTCTGCATTCATTATCCTGCCATTTGTGCACTTCTGCAATGTTAGGGGTAGATATTAGTTTAGCCTACATTTCTTTCTCATCCACTTAAATAAGTGGAGTTTGTGCTTATCAGAAACCCCAAATCCCTGTCCACAAAATACTGACACTTTCACCAAAACAACTGTACCGTACAAAATGCTTTGTTTTGTCAGCGAACAGATGGGAATGTTGCTTAATCTGCATTCTGTTGGAGATTTTGCAGGGCCTTTCCTGTCATACAAGAGATCCCTTCAGCAGATTCAAAGCTTCATTCTAAACAGCTGGTCAGATCAGCTGGCAGCTCCTCTAGATTGCAATTTGCAAGACATGTACCATCATCAGGAAAATTAAAATAATTTTAAATGGAGTGTTTTCTTATAAACTGATTGAGGTAGACACTACAGAGATAATTCCACAATCCCGTGTGCCCAGCTGGGGGTTCATAAAGCTAATTGTGGTGACAATGTTGTTAAGCCTATCTGTAAACCATGCTTCTTCTCAGCACAACTTTCTCCCTGTAAACGCAGTAACATGGAATTAAACCTTATTACATAATCTAAAATTTAGTTAGATGATATTAAGATATAAGTGTTATAAATAGGTACATGGTGAGAACGGAAAATTGATCAGAGCAGACAGATACAATGCAAGTTAATGTCTAAATAAGGTCACAGGAACCAGCGCAAAGACAGTCAAGTGCAAATTTGGCACTAAGTATGGCGAATAGGAAACTGAATGGCAATTCTTTTATGCATTCATGAGGCAGGGCCAGCAGTTATTATCCATCCTTAATTTTACCTGAGATGGTGATTGTAAGCTGCTGTAATCTACATAGTAGAAGGGATCAACGGTGCTGTTAGCTACAGAGTCCCAGGATTTGGCTCAGTGAAGATATAAGACCAGCAATATAATTTCCAGTCAGAATGATGTGCAATTTGGTGGAATAAGAAATTAATAGAGCATGTAACAAATGTAATAATTATGAGTGAATTTAACATTCCTATAGACTGGACTGAACAAATTAACAAAGATGGTGTGAAAGAAGGGTTTATAGAATGCTATCGTGACAATTTTTTGGAGCAAGATGTTGTAAAACCATTATTTTAGCTCTTGTATCACATATTGAGACAGAGCTAATTAGTAATCTCATTGTCAAAGATCCGTTGAAGAATTCTGGTCATAATACAAATGTGTTCTTTAGTAAGTTTGAGAACAAAATACTCAAAGCACATACCCTTAAGCTTAAAAGAAAGCTATTTACTTTGGTAAGAACGAGAATCCGGCTAGGTTAATTCGGTAAATGACATGGTGTCAAACTAGCAATGGGAAACATTTCAGGAAACAATTCAAAATTTTCCTTAAAAAATGATGTTCAATTGAAAAACGAATAGCTCAGTAAGAAAGATCCATCTGTGGTCTTACTAAAGTAGTTAAAAATAGTACCAGAATAAAAGAAGGAGATAATAATTTTGCAAAAAATTATAGTGAATCTGAGGATTGGGAGTATTCTTAAAACTATCAAAAGGCCATCAAAAAAGTTGATAAAAAGGGAAAACATAGAATCTGAGAGTAAACAATGAATATGATAACAGATTTTAAGAGCTTTTATGAATATATAAAAAGGAAGAGTAGCTAAACAGTGGTATCTGAGAAGCAGAGGCAGGATGAATTATTATGGGTAATGACAACACAGGACAGTCATTGAATAAATATTTCTTGTCTTTTCTCAGAGTAGAAGACACAACTTATACACCAGAAACACAGTGTGGTCCGGGTGCTAAAAAGATTGAGGAAATGAAGGTACCTAAATCAGCAGAATAAAATATTTGAATGATTTTAAGAGACTAAAATTTAACAACTTCCTTGCAACTGATGGTCTAGACCCCAGGATTCTAAAAGAAATATCTGCAGAGTGCAGAGATACTGGATGCAGTTTATGAAATGCACACTGCTTTTCAAGAAAGGAGGGAGAGTGAAAATGATGAAGTATAGGCCACTTTGTCTGACAGAAGTTGCCAGGAAAATGCTAGACACCATTATTAAAGATCTTAACAATACACACCTAAAAGTCTGTTTTTATGAAAAATAAATCAGTTTTGACAAATTTATTTGAGTTTTTGATAATGTAACAAATGGGGTAGACTGAGAGGGATCAGAACACATCATAAAATTTGACTTTCAACAGGCATTTAACAAGGTTTCATGCAAACCTCATGGAGTTGAGGATTAATATATTAGTGCAGATATGGGATTAGTTAACAGACAGGAACAAATGGGACAATTTTCAAATTGGTACTCTATGACTTCTGGTGTATTGAGAAGAATGTATCCAAGTTTTCTTACAGCATAGGTAGGAATAAAGCTGTGAGAAGGTACAAAGAGGCTGTGAAGAGATATAGACATAATAAATGAGTGGGCACCAGGATGACAGTTGAAGCAAAATGTAGGGAGTGTGAATTCTGTTAGTTAGAAAAGAAAAGCAAAATATTTTTTAAAAGGCGTGGAAGTTGTAAATGTTGATATTCAAAATGACTCGAGTGTACTCGTATAAGTAAAAATAAAGTTAAAATGCAGATATAGAAAGCAACAAGGAGGCAAAGTGGCATTTTTATCTTTATTACAACGGGTTCTGAAGTACGAGAATAAGAAAGTTTTGCTACAGGCATTCAATGAGACCACACTGGGATAATTGGTCTCCATATTTAAGGAATTATCCTTGCAGCGGAGGCAACGCAGTGAAGGTTCATTGACTTGGTTCTGAGGACAAGACAAGGTTGTCCTATGGTCAGAGCTTGTTAAATAGGGTGTATACTCTCTGGAGTTCAGAAGAATGTGAGGTGATCTAATTGGAACATAAAAGATTGTGATGGTGTTGACAGAGACATTGCGAGGTTGATTCCTCTGGCTGAGAATATGGGACATAGACTCTGGATAAAAGATTGATCATTTAGGACTCAGATAAGGAGAATTGCTCGGAGGTTGAGGAAAATTGGAATTCTTTACTACAAAGGGTTCCACTTTGAATACATTCAAGGCTGACATAAACAGATTTTTGGTACCTTAGGGAATCAAGCGAGATGGGGAACAGGAAGGAAAGTGAAGTTAAACTTGATGATCAGTCATAATTGCCTGAATTGCAGAGCCAGCTCAAGGGCCATATGATTTGCTCCAGTAACTATTTATTACGTTGTTATTTATGTTTGCTGATTTGGCAGTGCTGATTGGAAAATCAACCCTCACCTTCCTTCAAGAAGTTATTGAAATGCAGAATGTAATGATTCAAACAATGAGTTATACAACTGCAAATACAAATAAAATGTTACTGCTGACTGACAGAATCATCTCTGAAAATAACTTACATCTTGGTTGGACATCTCCCAGTAAGGTCTTTCCCCATATGACATCACTTCCCACATTACGATCCCATAACTCCACACATCACTAGCTGAAGAGAACTTTCTGTAGGCTATTGCTTCAGGAGCCGTCCACCGAATAGGAATTTTCCCACCCTGTACCAGGAGAAAGATAATGTTATTGGTTAAAACTGAGATATTAACTCTGTTTCTATCTCCACAGATGCTGCTAGATTGTCTGAACATTTCTAGGATCTTCTCTTTTTATTTTACAAGAAACTTTCTTTGTTATTCCATCTTTCAAGAAAAATGGAGGTTATCAGACACCATGCTGGTAAACACAGAGCAATAATTACATTCAAACTCCAGTAATTCTTTCCAAACGCATGAACACTTCCATCCGGAAGGACAAGCACAGCAGATATATGGGAACATCACCACCTTTAAGTTCCCCTCCAAGCCACACCATCCTGACTTGGAAATATATGGCCGTTCCTTCACGGCCACTGGGTCAAAATCCTGGAATTCCTTCCCTAATAGCATTGAGTATCAACTCACAGCAGGTGGACTACAGCGGTTCAAGAAGGCAACTTGCCTCCACATTCTCAAGGGCAACCAGCAACGGGCAATAAATGCTGGCCAGCCAGTGATGCCCACATCCTACAAAATGAATAAATGAAAAAAAGATATCACTCGCTTGCTCTCTCTTTCTTTCTTTATATGTATTTGTCTTCAATGCATAGGTTCTAATCTGGTACAACAGAATTTCAATAGAGGGAAAATTGGGTTTTGGAGTTGGATGCTATCAGAACGGATGGATGATCCTCTCTATCAGATTACTGACCAGGTATTAGGCAAAACTCTGACCCATTGACATCAGAACTGACACTCTCATCTTCTGCCTTGAAAGGTAAAAGTTTCAGACATATGTCTCCGTTGGCTGGTTCAAACAGAACGATGCCCATTTTTAACTTTGTAAACATTGTTGCTTCTCTAACTCTCTCTCTTTCTCTTGCCTTCTTTAAGATACTTCTTGAAAGCTTCTGGTCATTTGTCCTGATATCTCCTTGCCTCTCCTAGTTTAAAATTTTGTTTGATAATGTTCCTGTCCAGCTCGTTGGGATATTTAGCTAAACTAAAGACACTATAGACCTTGCTGCTGTTAGAAAGTTAAAACTGACTTCCTCTCAGGACAACATACATTCACAGAAATACAGTCCAAACTCTATTAAGAGAAGGTTGCATTTGTTTTCATATTATTAAAGTTTTGTCCAAGATTTTCAAAGGGAAAATCAAATCCATGTTGTATTTGGCCTTTGGAGAGGGTTTCACTGTACTAATTGAAGAAGAGCAGGAGAATTTTCCAAGAATGTTGCTCAAAACCTATCTGTCAATCAATGCCTAAAACAGATTACCTGCTCATTAACTCATTGATGCTTATGGGAATTTGCTGCATAGGGGAGCTGCTGTAGTTCTTATGTTACACTTTAAGTGTAGCTCCTATCTCAGAGTTCTTAAAGACACTATATAAATGCAAGCAGGCCTTGTGTCAGAATGATAGAATCTCACCTCCCCACACTGGACTGGAAATTCTGGGTTTGAGTCCCACCCTAAGAACTGGTAGTCACACAATGTATTTCACTATATGGCCAAATAGGTTGATTATTGATCTGTAAATCTTTCCAAAACACCTATTACAGAAGTTAATAGTGGGAGAGTTTTCTGGTCATCCAGAAGCCTATGGAAGCTGAGGCCTCCCCATGTTTAAACAGTCCATGTACAAGTTCTTGCCATGATACAGTGATGATATAATGGATTGTCTCTTTAAGGTGCACTGACATACTGACAGTGTGACAACATCTGGCCATTAATTGGCAAGCCTGCATGAAATTCTGGCGAGATTGGGGATCAGAATCACACCACTGCATTGGTCCTGCATTCTGCTCCTCGACAATTTACAGAACATTCCAGCCAATGTCTGATCTTGTGTTTTATTCTTAATCATTTTTTGGCAATTCAAATGTTAAAAAGTTAAACAAAGGATAATTTTCTGGCATAATCCTGTGCTTCTTCAAAGTCTTTTTCATAATCTGCTACAACCCAATTTAATGTAATCAACAAATTTAAATATTGTTTCACAATTTTGGTCATTTATGGAAGCGATATTAACAATATGAACTTATTAATACCATTCACTGTATCTTTCTAAAATAGAAAAGTTCTTTTTGCCCTGTACTATCTCTCCACCTTTGCGGCAAAATTTCTCTTAACACCACGTGTTATTTTTGTCAAAAATCTCTTACGTTACATCTTAACAAATTCTTTTCAAAAATCCCTGTATATGACAGCCATTCCATTTCACTTATAGAATGGGATTCAGTATAGCTTTGTCCTTTGGATATCAGCCCAATGGAAGATGGATTGTGAATGCTTAAACTTATTTCACTCCTGTCCTTTAACACCTCTGAGCAGGAGGTGATCTTTATCTGCTCTGCATGACTGAATTGAAACCAAATCCTAGAAGTGAAAGGACATACTATCATATTATATGAGCTCTCTGGGTCTAAAACAAGCAAACACAGAGCTATTTTATCAATATTTTATATTCTATCTATTTTTGACTAATCACAACACATATAGTTAAATTTTGTTGGTATTGATTTTCACTGGGATTATGTGGCATCACAGCAATCAAATTATCCCTGCGACGTATCTTCAGCAAGCTCTGCTGCACTGATGAGCAGCCCTTTTAATGAGAATATCTGTCATATCCTTTACTTTAGAAGGAGTTGCTTTGGCTGCAGAAAGTCTGTGGGGAAAGAAAAGTGCTTGTAACTTATCAGATAATGAAGGATATTTTGGCTAATGTCAAGGGAAGAGTTGAAAGGTTTTAAGCTTTGTCACTTCTCTCAGGTTTGGTTATTAGAAAAAAAACTGAAAAGGTGGCAGAAATATCCAAATAGTCCCTCGACTCATTACAGCATTTTGCCATCTATTATATAAAACAGGCCCAAAGCAAAGCATGACACTAATGGAGTTATAAATATCATAATGCAATTCTGTTACTCAGTTTTTTTTTGTTACGGCGTCAGCTTCATTTCTTGCTCCAGTGAATAGTGTTTGGTTGACTGGAAAGACTATATTGAAATGTCAAAGTTCACTCATGCAACTTAATCCTATATCCCCTCATTATACTGTACTAAAGAGAGCAGATGTAACACTGTGGAATTCTTCAGACAGCAAACAATATTTATAATTTTCTGAGTTTGAACTAATTTTGATTATCTACCTGGTAAAATTATTCCAACACCACCCAAACTAGCTGTAATATAAATACAAAAAGAATTAGCATTATACATTTCATTAATGAAATAGCATTAAGGTTTTAATTAATTAATAAACATTAATGACACAGCTAGTAACACAGTGTTACTAGTTGTGTCATAAAGCAATTATTTCTGAAGTTGTTAACATTAACAATGCAATTTACTTTACTTAATGTGGTGTCTGGAACTTAACCACACACAAGCTGGTCTAATTAAAATAATTCATCAAACTGAATGAACTACTTGAAAAGGCAGCAGGGATGAAATCTTTCTTGTCATCATGTGTCTAAAAATTTGTTAAAATTACTGAAAAGAGATTTTTAAAATTTGTTTTAAAAAATTATCTAATTTTGAAAATATGCAGATCAAATATTAGAGGCATCCTTCTACTTTTACAGTGTACTATGTGGCATGTTAGGCATATCCTTTAAAGAATATTTTATTCCGTGTTTCTATTTTTTAGCTTACTTATGTGTGCCTTGAGGAGTGAACAAGATTTAGGATGATGAAAATATTAGCACCTGGTATTGTTTTGCATAAGACATTTCGAACCTTGGGATGCTTCACTGAGCATCCAAATGAAAAAAAAATTTACTGCTTTTGATTTTTGCAGGCAATCACTAATTTCATAGAATCATAGAAATTCTACAGCTGAGATAAAGGCCATTTGGCCCATCGAATCTACACTGACCCTTCGAAGAACATCCCACCCAGACCCACCCTAGCCCCATAACCCCACATTTCCCATGGTTAATCCACATAGCCTGCACATCCCTGGACACTACAGGCAATTTAGCACGGCCAATCCACCTAACCTGCCCATCTTTGGACCGTGGGAGGAAATCAGAGCACCCGACGGAAACCCACGCAGACACGGGGAGAATGTGCAAACTCCATACAGACACGCAATGCAGGAATCGAACCCGGGTCCCAGCGCTGTGCGGTAGTAATGCCTAAGACTGTGCCAGCATGCTGCCCTTATTATAAAACAAGAGGAAAGAAAAATGCATTTTTTAAAAAAATTATTTGTATAGTGATTTGCTTATTATTATTTGTTTATGGGATGTAGGCATCACTAGCTAGACCAACATTTATTGCCCATCCCTAATTGCCATCAAGAATGCAGTGATGAGCTATCTTCTTGAACTGCTGTGGCCCTTAGGGTGTAGATACATCCACAATGCTATAATAAGCGTGTTCCAGGATTTTGACTGCACAACAAGGAAAGAACAATTCCAAGTCAGAATGGTGTGTGGCTTGGAATGAAGTTGCAAGTTGTTTTGCTTCCATGCATCTACTACTCTTGTTGTCGAGGAGCTAAAGGTTGTGGGTTGGAAGATGGAGTTGAAGGAGCCTCGGTGACTTATTCCAAAGCATCTCATAGTTGATGCACACTGCTGCGACTATCCATTAGTTGTGAAGGAAGTGAAAGTTGAAGGTGCTGGATCGGATGCCAAGCAAGCTGATTGCTTGTCTGGCATAGCATTGAGATCTTTGTGTGTTGTTGGAACTTCATTCCTTCACACAAGTGGAAAGTATTGCATTACACTCTTGACTTGTGCCTTGTAGATAGCACAGAGACTATGGGGAGAACAAGAGGAATTTATTTGCTGCAGCATACCTGACCTGCTCTCATAGCCACTGTATTTATATGGCCAATCTAGTTCAGTTTTTGGTCGTTGGCATTCCCCAGGATGTTGAACATGAGGGATTCAGTGTTGGTAATACCATTGAATATCAAGGAGTGTTGATTAGATTCTTGCTTGTTTGGGATAGACATTGTTGTATCTGGTGTTTGCTTCTGAAGTGGTGAAGAGTGCATTAAGTTCT